ACTCACTTTGTAAATGTCTTATTCCCCACCCTCCCCTCCTGCTGACTCACTTTGTAAATATTTTATTCCCCACCCTCCCCTCCTGCTATACTCACTTTGTGGTGGCGCCATCTCTGACCAGGTTGTGACACATGTATTGGATCACTAACTCACAGTGGCTGTGTGGACTGGCACAGGAATGCTGGTTTGTCCTAAATAAATTGATTTGTATGTTCTTTAGTAAAAATTACATCTATATGAAATATTTTGTTTTTTCTCTGTTGCTTTACTAATAATTTTGACTCCAATGGTCGGTTTTTTTTGTCCAAAAAGTGATAACTCTGAAGATATCAGAAAAATTACATTGTTGACTTCTGAATTGAAGGTATAACAATATTTCGGGACTCACCACTCGATCTGGAGAATGGATCCAGCGTAGTAATACAGGGAACCGACATTGTTACCACCACGGTTGTTGTTTTGGGAGTCAAACATTCTAAAACCAGAAAAAAGTCAGTCAGGAAAGTGCTAACAAACAATTATCTAAGGATGGCCTTAGTTCTTGGATTTGACCCAGAAGGCTGTTTGTTGGTATAATCTCCAATATATTATGACACTGTAGCTTTAACTGACCACCAACTTTTATGACATGTATTATTAGGGTCAAGGGCATAAGAAATTTGGACCAAAGCAAGCAAGCAAGAGAAAATACTCTTCAATAATAATTAGTATGTAGTGAGATTTAAATACAAGTCAATATATACTGACTAAGAAAGTCCATAGAAATTGTTTTTTTCTAAAATTGTGAACATAAGAAATGTCCATGACAGAAAGGTTTTTCAGGTTACATGTATTAAGTTGTTTTCTTTATACATTCCTGTGTATCATCAAAATGATGTATTAAAATTGATCATTTCCTGACACAGGTAAAATCACTCATGTGTGCCTGCATTTATAACATACATTAACACTGCAGACAGTGACATTAGTTATGGTTGTCGCGTAAAGTCTCATCATCCTGTTTTTGTCTTTCCATTGACAATAACACTATATATTTGAATTCTTAACAACAATCCTAATCATTACAACGATGCGTGTTGGAGGTTGTGTTGGTGTATGTTTTGGAAGACGGTCCAGGTATACGGATGAGATAATATAAGGGGAGTAACTATTTAAGGATATCAAGTTTTTTTATAACTTGTATGAAATAAATGTAAATTTGTTGGACTCTTTGAGGTTTTCCATCATGTGACAACAGCTATTAGCCTTAAGTGACATGAATACAGTATACATGTACATTGCATTCAACATATATTTCATGATGTCAAACAGTGATTTTTTGGGGGAGGAAAAACAAGAATTTTTACTAAATACCTGAAAACATATTGAATATTTCATTTCCATTCTTGAAATAGAAATGAATCATAAATTTAACTAAAACAAATCCCTATATTTTATGCAATTCTACTTAAAGTATCCCGATGTTACTAGTGAGCAATGTATGACGTAAATAGAAGATTAGACTGGTGGTGAATAGTGAACAATGTATGACGTAAATAGAAGATAAGACTGGTCATGACTAGTGAGCAATGTATGACGTAAATAGAAGATTAGACTGGTGGTGACTAGTGAGCAATGTATGACGTAAATAGTAAATTAGACTGGTGGCGACTAGTGAGCAATGTATGAGGTAAATAGAAGATTAGACAGGTCATGACTAGTGAGCAATGTATGACGTAAATAGTAGATTAGACTGGTGGTGACTAGTGAGCAATGTATGACGTAAATAGTAAATTAGACTGGTGGTGACTAGTGAGCAATGTATGACGTAAATAGTAGATTAGACTGGTGGTGTCTAGTGAGCAATGTATGAGGTAAATAGAAGATTAGACAGGTCATGACTAGTGAGCAATGTATGACGTAAATAGTAGATTAGACTGGTGGTGACTAGTGAGCAATGTATGACGTAAATAGTAAATTAGACTGGTGGTGACTAGTGAGCAATGTATGAGGTAAATAGAAGATTAGACTGGTCATGACTAGTGAGCAATGTATGACGTAAATAGAAGATTAGACTGGTGGTGACTAGTGAGCGATGTATGAGGTAAATAGAAGATTAGACTGGTGGTGACTAGTGAACAATGAATGACGTAAATAGAAGATTAGACTGGTCATGACTAGTGAGTAATGTATGAGGTAAATAGAAGATTAGACTGGTCATGACTAGTGAACAATGTATGACGTAAATAGAAGATTAGACTGGTCATGACTAGTGAGCAATGTATGAGATAAATAGAAGATTATACTGGTCATGACTAGTGAACAATGTATGACGTACATGTAAATAGAAGATTAGACTGGTCATGACTAGTGAGCAATGTATGACGTAAATAGAAGATTAGACTGGTCATGCTAGACTGCTGTATGTGTTTACTACAGAAATAATGGCTTTACTCAGTTTACATTGTAGCTTTATATTTATGTCCTTCTATTCACCGACCTTTCATCCGACACAGCATAAAGGTATACAAGAACATATAGACTACACAAATTACACAACTAACTTTTACGATGGTCACATTTTTTTTTTACAAAGATATATCGTAAATGGTCTGTTGAACATCAAGCCGCTCCACTTCAACTTTTTTTTTTTTCATTTTCTTTGTTAATAAATTTAAAGTCATGAATAATTAAATATGCAAATGATGTTTTCTCATGTGTCATGATCACTTATGATGTGGACTCGCCTCAGGCTAAATGGCTTGAAAGGAAATCAAATTTACGAACATCACCCGGAGAAGTATGTGTATTATATAAGAATGCTGAAATACCTGTTATCATTTGCTCTGTTCCTTGTTTCCTCATCTAGTCGATTGTTACTTCCCCTGAAAAATACAAAATTCATTCAATCAATTGAACAGATAATGTGTAACTCTTGAACAAATATTCACAAAAAAAATATAACTATAACTGTCAGAATTTTAAAATGTATCTCAGTTCTCTGTAAGTGAATAATACTAAACAAGTCTTAGTGTTTGGCTTGAGGCCCCATTAAAACCAGCCCTCATTCACAGTTTTCCTTCCCTAGTTTTTTGAAGAGGAGATGGGGTAGAGAGTTTTTTTTTGTGAAAACTATGATCAAAGTATTAACTGGTCACTATGTTACATATGTAACTGAGAAACATATTTAATTATCCAAATACATATTTTTCAGTATTAGATTATCAACTTAAGTGTAGTATGATCCTTAAACTGAATTTTTGATTTTAAACTTCATGTAGATACAACTACATTTGCGATAAAAATTGATTTTTTCTTTTCATTTATGTATCACAGCAGAGAAAAGGGAAACAACATTTTTGTTATGGCTCTAAATTGCAAACACAATACATCGTCAGCCCCAAGTTCAGTTGTAAATAAGCCATTCATTAAACCAATTTTACAAATACAGACATATATATATATCAATGAGGACTTCCTGTATAATGTATATATGACTGACAGAGAAATAGTGTGACATATCATCTCAATTTATCTGAGAAGTAATAATTAGTTTTAGCTGCACAAGTGTAGGCTAATCAGTACTAGCTGAGCTGTATAGGGGGTCATGCTGTGTGATCAGCTCCCTCTGGCTGAAGGGCTAAATGCATGGTCAGTAGTGGGATACCCCCACTGGGACCATTAAAATGATAAGCTGAACCTCAGCCGATATAGTGTAGTTTGATTTGTTATTGTTTAACAAATTTAACATACTATTTCTATGTAGCTTCATTGTTTTATACAAGAATAGAGAAACAATTACATTAAGCATAATGTGTAGTTTATGGAACTGTTTTGATTAATCAAATCAAGCAAGTAGTTTTGATTCTGTATATGTTTTGCTGTCATTTGAAGTGTTCAAATATTAAATAATTCAATAATGCATTTAAGTTCAAGGTTTGTGTTATAAGTGTAAGACTTCAGTATAAAGCAGAGAATGTCATCTTTCAGGACAAGTATTTAGATCAGTTGTAACATTTATAGTTTTGATAAAATATCAAGTTAAAGTAAAATAAGAAACACAACATTGGTCAAATGTCCTACTGGCTGAGATCAGCAAGTAGCCTCAGCAGGAGGTCTTCTGTGAGGGACAAGTAGCAAGTATATAAGGAACGAGAACGAGAGAGTAAAAAAAGAAAAAAAAGAAGAAAGGTTTGTTGGTGATCATACACAGTAGCCACAGCCTCCTGAAAGACAGTGTTTCCATATCAAACCACATAAATCACCTACCTTTACCCTTCAAACTAACACAACGCCAGCAGATCTATACCGCACCCTATTCTCTACAGTATCAACATCCTTTACCAATTCCCCCTTTTTACTATTCGTACACATCATGACTTGTATAAGTACCCGCAGGACGGGGGTTATACAATTGGTGTTTATAAATCCTCCTAAAGATAACATACCAATAAACTCTTAACAAGCTATTTCCATAAGACCTTTGTTCATACTCCCTCACGCTGTCCTCTAACCTTCTTGTCCTTCGGAAGGGACGTTAAATGGTGGTCCGGTGTAAGGAGAGTCACGCCTTGCACGTTAAAGATCACTCTGCTGGCTTTCGAAAAAGGTAGGCTAATTGCTAGCCACCACGGAGAATAGGATATAAATTTAGACTAGTGTAGGGCTTTAAGTGACAGTCCAAATTGCAATCCCTAAATTATAGAAACTAGAACTAGGTTCCCATATCCTCCATTTTAGAACTTTTTGTCAACACTCAAAAGGCGGAATTGCAACCATAACACACACACACACACACCCCCCCCCCCCCCTTTTTTTTTTTTTTGTCCTAGGCTCGGTTTTAACCGGAACAAGGACATAAAGCCCCATCAATCAATCAATCAGTAAAAAAAGACCTTGCGAGGCAAAAAGGAAAGAGACCTTGAGCGTCAGAAAGGTGAGATTTAAAGATTATCAACATTTGGATTAACCTGAGTAAGCTGTACATGGAAATAAAGATGTAAGGAATGTCAGCAATGGTATTGGAGTTATGACTGCAAGGACGACGTAGGATTACGTCGTATGGCCGGACTATGACATCAGACCCCAAAAGGGCGGCCGGTCATATATACATAAACACGGCAAATGTGAGGCCAGTAAACTTTATATCATTTGTTTACTCAGATCCTTTGTGTTCACAGGTCACGTATTGGTCAACAATATATGAATCGAGATATGTATTAAATATGAAAGTGATTATGGACGGAAACAATAATACAAACGGTGTATATATAATAAATATCAATGTTTCCTTTCATATACAGAAAAAACCTGTCTTATCTGACCCCTGAATATTCTGCCACCCTGTCTGATCTGACATCACAAACTAATCTCATTTTTAATGAACACAACCAAATAATGCAAAAGACCTCCTCCAGTGTCAGATTAGACAGGTTTCACTGTACATGGAGAAACGTGGAGTTATTTATGATTCATAAAGGATCCTCTGCTAGCTGTCAGCTAACTGCTTGAAATCAACATATACAGCATGACTCAAGTTCATACATACCAGCTGACCATAAAACTTAGTATCAGCCAAATGGTCAGATTTAAATGCATGGAATGCATGTCACATGTATGCATAAATATTTCATATGGTACATCTGTTTAATCATATCCCCCATTCCGAAGGTGTTATTATCCTAAATTTGCTCCTGTTCTAGAGAAAGGTAAAATTTCAAAGAAAGCGATTACTGTGAATGTGATTATATTAAGAAAAAATTACATGTTTTGTTGTTTTCCACTGTATATGCTGTGTAGTTAAAATACACTTTCCAGAGTTAAACATTAGCAAATCAAATTACAAAAAGTTCAAAATATATGAAATAATGCATTTCACCCAAGAAGACTGAACTATAAATGTTTCTGAGACACAATACAAATCACATAAAAAATGCATTTCATCCAAAAAGATTGACCTACATATAAATATAGGAGTGGTGCCTGAGAAAATTAAATAGGTCTAGTCATCTGGTGTTTCTTAGACACAATACATATCATGTTTCATCGTGACTGAAATACACCCTATAATCACAGGTATCGTGACTGAAATACACCCTACAATCACAGGTAGATGGGTTAATTGCACGTTAACAAAGCCAGTTATTCAGTCGTCTCAAGTTTCTTTGACAACAGAACTTACGATAAATAAAAAGGCTGAGTCAGTTTCATGTTCATAAATTACAAAAATGATCTCTGTATTTGAAAACACTTTTCTACCCTATAATAACACATTAACCTACTTTACCAGCAAGCCATACCTTGTAACTCGTGTGAAGTTCTTTATTTGGGAATCAAGAGACATGAAAAATATTTCTGAAGTAAAGCAACCTCTGATCTATTGTATGAACAGCAGTTCACTTCAGTTAATTAACACTCTCATTAATCATTTGCTTAATTATTAAATAGTGCTTTCTGAATTTTCTATTACTGAAGTTTTGTTCTGATGTGATAAAGCAAGGAATTGCTGTCAGCTGGCATTCATAGAGAATATGAACGCCACATGGCCAGGATAAGAGGAAAATTGGTGCTTTATGTTAAAATTCTCCTGTATTCAAGAAGTGTTCATATTCCCTGTAAATGACCTTCCTTAAACTTTTAAAAGATTTACATACTGTGTTGCCAATGGCAACAGGAGTGGAACCTACTATCACACATGTGCACTTTAGTTTTCAAATATTGTCAAACACTCGAATGACGTTATAGATGACCAGTGTATACACTCTAATGATGCTATAGATGACCAGTGTATACGCTGTAATGACGTTATAGATGACCAGTGTATACACTCTAATGACGTTATAGATGACCAGTGTATACCCTGTAATGACGTTAAAGATGACCAGTGTATACGCTCTAATGATGCTATAGATGACCAGTGTATACCCTGTAATGACGTTAAAGATGACCAGTGTATACACTCTAATGACGTTATAGATGACCAGTGTATACGCTCTAATGATGCTATAGATGACCAGTGTATATGCTCTAATGACGTTATAGATGACCAGTGTATACGCTCTAATGACGTTATAGATGACCAGTGTATACGCTCTAATGACGTTATAGATGACCAGTGTATACGCTCTAATGACGTTATAGATGACCAGTGTATACGCTCTAATGACGTTATAGATGACCAGTGTATACGCTCTAATGACGTTATAGATGACCAGTGTATACGCTCTAATGACGTTATAGATGACCAGTGTATACGCTCTAATGACGTTATAGATGACCAGTGTATACGCTCTAATGACGTTATAGATGACCAGTGTATACGCTCTAATGACGTTATAGATGACCAGTGTATACGCTGTAATGACGTTATAGATGACCAGTGTATACGCTCTAATGACGTTATAGATGACCAGTGTATACGCTCTAATGACGTTATAGATGACCAGTGTATACGCTGTAATGACGTTATAGATGACCAGTGTATACACTGTAATGACGTTATAGATGACCAGTGTATACGCTCTAATGACGTTATAGATGACCAGTGTATACACTGTAATGACGTTATAGATGACCAGTGTATACACTCTAATGACGTTATAGATGACCAGTGTATACACTGTAATGACGTTATAGATGACCAGTGTATACACTCTAATGACGTTATAGATGACCAGTGTATACACTCTAATGACGTTATAGATGACCAGTGTATACACTCTAATGACGTTATAGATGACCAGTGTATATGCTCTAATGACGTTATAGATGACCAGTGTATACGCTCTAATGACGTTATAGATGACCAGTGTATACACTGTAATGACGTTATAGATGACCTGTGTATACACTCTTATGACGTTATAGATGACTAGTGTATTTGATCATTTTGACCTGCTGCTGCAGGACAAATAATTTAGATTCAGTCTGTCGAGGTCAGTCAAGAGAAGCCCATGTAGTATATGTCATAGTTACTTCCTCAATCACTGACCCAGATACTAAGTGGTCATTTCCTGTTACAAATAGTCCTACACTTCCAGTGTACTAGTTTACTTGTCCACTGACCACCCACTCCTTATAAAACTGAATAAACTTGAGAGACCACCCAGAGTTTAACACCATTCTAATAACAAATTCTCAACAAAGGTTTTTGTAGATTTGATAAGGTCTAACCCAATATCATATACACAATGTATCCACAAGTAGCATTTATAAGTATAATATTGAAACCTTTTCTCTTGTTTCATTTTCCTCCCTTATCTGCCTCATTTTTCCATTTTCTTCCCAGTTATTTTGACATCATAGTTATATACAAACATGCAAGCCTGTTCTTATTGATAAATAGCTAAGCCCATTTACAACATCACAATTTTGCAGGACAATTGATGACAATATACATATATTATCGCTTACAACAATTTGAAGATCAGTTAGATCAATTCTTATACTCAGTATGGAGAAACTGTGAGTTACTATATATATCTGTCTTACAAATTTGTAAGTGGTCATAAAATGTATTCCAGTACTCAATTGTCTTAACCTTAAATGTAAAATTACCATTTTTGAAACAGTACACATACATTTTATGTTTTTATTGTTACATTTTTTTACTGAGGAATTCTTAATTTGAAAGGAGATCCATGTAGTAAGGTACTCCTAGCATACATCCTAGGCTCAAGTCAGTAAGGTACTCCTAGCATACGTCCTAGGCTCAAGTCAGTAAGGTACTACTAGCATACGTCCTAGGCTCAAGTCGGTATGGTACTCCTAGCATACGTCCTAGGCTAAAGTCAGTAAGGTACTCCTAGCATACGTCCTAGGCTCAAGTCAGTAAGGTACTCCTAGTCCTAGCGTATGTCCTAGGCTGGAAGATAATTTTTGTGATCTCGATGTGTTAATGAAGTGACAAAAAAAAATGATATAATTTAGTTTGATACCAGGCCCAAAACTCTCAACAAAAACTCATAAGTTCATAGGCTGTTACAGTATATAGTCAAGGTGGAGGAGTTTAATGTTACACAGTGTGTTCCTGTGGTGACACCAACAAGGTTTTGCTGTATAGCAATTGCAGGTGCACTATATTTAACCTCATGTTTCACCAAACTTTGTCTCAAGAGTTCACTTTGCAAATATTTGCGGTCCTTCAAAATGATGAGAGTACTGCTGATAATCATCTGTTTTTGGATTTAAGATTTTTTCCTTTTTCTTACTGACCCCCTCAGGGCTCCAAAATAAACAAAGGGAGATATTGTCCATTATGAAAACTATAAATTGAAGTCATATAGACAAATATTTATCAAACACAAATGTATTCAGGAGATTATAGGGATAAACAGTTTCAAACACAAAATTGTAAAACTTTGGTTTATTTTTGGAGAGTGAAGGTTGGGGGGGGGGGGGGAGACTTTTAAAATCTGCCTGGAGGTTTCCAAAAGAGAATTTGTGAAAAGTATAACTAAAGGGTTTTTTTTAAGAAAATTAACAGACTGTACAATAATATAGTACAGTGTATTTTTTTCATAAAATAAATCTCAAAATAAAACGTGCATGCACCTGAGAAATACTAAATTATAATAGAGTATGTGTATTTTAAGGTAGGGACACGGTTCATACATGTATATTTTACACCCATTCTAAGGGGCTATAAAATATCACAATCAATATTCCTACTGTTGACTGCAGTGCAATAAACCAAGGACAGGATTACAGCTGCATATGTATTGAATTATCTGTATGTGTGTGTACACTACTACAGTATAGTTTACCTGTTATCTGGCGGCATGACTCAGATGTTGACAAACTTGAATTCATCATGTATCAAACAGTCAAATAGAGATTAAACAGATACATCTATTAGTAAATACAGAATTTGGGTTCTATAATTTCTACATTTGAACATATTTCACTATACTTACCTTGGGTTGTGTAAATATATATCACAGCTCACACCTGCCACTAATGATAAAACGAGAGTCCAAACGCCCGCAGACATCTTTACAGAATGACACCACAACCTATATGATGTTCAAACCGGACACCACGTACGTAAACACTACCGTCCCCAAATAAGGTAGTAGGCCTAACTTGAGTAAGACAACAATAGGTTGAGAAATAACTTGACCCAGTGATTCGCTTCAAGCACATGATCATGACCCTGCTTCCTTATGACGACAAACACCTGTATACAACTCCGAGATAAAAAAAAAAAAAAATAGTTCTGTACGATTAACAATTTATTTATTTGATAGCGGATTATATTCGTAATATATTGACTATCGTATTTTGTTTTAATTATTCATTAGATGTCTCAAAAGATAAAAAAATAAATAAAAATAAATAACGCCTGTTTAGGGTAAGAGATAAATACACAAGTAGGTGTTACTGGCGTAGTAATACACGATATATCTTTATGGGTTAAAGGTCATGTAAACAAATTCTACTTTCACTTCAACCGGGCACACATCTAGCTAATCTAATCCCGTGCTTTCAACAGCTGATAAAAGTTGAAGTCGATACATCCTGGGCAGTATAAGAACCTTATTCAAAACATCAGATACTAAATATAGATTTGTATATATATGAGTCACAGTTCAGTAACTCTGGCTGTACAGTGTATAACATCCTAGGCAGTGCATCTTAATTCTACCAGAAGTCCTACTCCAACAATGTTAGAGGTTTTACACGGCGAAAAACTTGTCGCAGTCGGCAAAATCATATCCGATTGAAAAAAGGGCGACCAGCGGCCTCTCATGTTATGGGAGTACCAGAAGTCCGTGTACGGTCCATGCAAACTGAGTGCATTACCAACTGAACTTGTATCACAAATTATCTATTAGCATTCTATTTGTTTGAATTCTGAAATTCTTTTTCAGCATCCTCATCTGTGTCAGGTTGTTTTACACAAACTACACTTCATGGATTATAGATGCGTAATTAGATTTAATTGTAATGTATCTCACTTCCGGCTTCGGATGCTGGACATGACCTAAGATATTTTAATATGCAAATTGTAAAAAAAGATTTACTTGAAAAGTACGTATCTGAGAATTTTGCAGTCGAAGATTTTTCATAAGTAAGTTTAACTCTAATTAATTTTAACTATTTGAAATTTTAAAAAATAAGCAAACATGTTTCAAACTTACAATTTAGATTTAGCGTCTTTTCCCACAGGGCCTGCGACTTTGTTTGAGTACCGGTAAGTATGTTTGGAGCTTATTATGACGCGTAGAGAGTGACATTGCATGTATTTAGGGGTGTATCTCAACACTTATAAGGGTAGAGTAGTGTAACTGTGAGAGTTCGTAGAAAACCGAAAATGTTTAATACTACATTCTACACACTATTAAAGGTCAGACGACTGACAGAGCTGAAACATGCCTGGACAATTTTCATTTCAGAATATATATTGTGATATAGATCTTAAATGCAATATCATGCTATAGATAGACATTATTTCAAGTGTTAGTTTAAACTTTATTTTATTGATGTTTAATTACAATAGTACATGGTTATAAATACAGAAAAGGATCCAGAAACAAGTATATAGTACTTATGTAAATCCGTCTCCTTTCAAGTGTTAGAATGCTGACATGAAAAAAAAGTTATTGTATATTGAATACAGATCAACAAGAGACTGCAAGACGCGTGCTATCACTTGAGAGGGATGATGTCGGGGTTTGTTTGCAGGTTTGTTAGTATTTAGTAGGTGTGATATGTCTTATANGGGGGGGGTCAATAAGCAGTCTTTTCATTTACAGATGAATGTGAAAAATATCACTGAACTATATCGCTTTTATCAGAATTATTCACTGTCGCTATAGTCCTGGGTTCGACTCGTAGCGGAATCGCAATGAGACATAATCACTTAATTATTTCAGTAGAATTCAGATTTAGCGGAATTCCTCAACACTATCAGAGCTCGCTTCGTATCAAAGGACGGACCTTAGCGGAAAGACAGTGTACTCAGACAGGTAATTCAGTCAAGTTGTACGTATGGGTAAAATAGAGAAGCTATATGTGACGTCACATACTTAATTGTTGCTTAGATGCTCAGGCGGAGATGATCAGTAACTCCCCTGAAATTAACGTTTTTCATATTAATTCCTGGATTACTACAATGGATATCAGGTTATTCCTGATATATGTGGTAATGCTGAGCGCAGTGCACCGAGGTCCTGCTGTATATCCATGATATCGGGACCTTACGTGGTAAGTTTGGAATTTATTCCGTACTGATTGTAAGTTGACATTACGCATGGTGTTATTTCTAACGTAAATAATCGTTTCATAATTTTAGAAAATTTAATCAATTGTTTTGTAATTTTTGTGTTAAGCGTGGAGCCAGAGCCCGAATACATCAAAAGATTGTTCAAGTATTTCACCGCAACAGAAATTCAGAAAGTGTGCCCAATATCTGCCGATCTGGCTTGGGTTATGATTATTTTTTTATATTGATATTTATTCTGTACATATTTATTTGTTCTGAGTATGTTAGCACCGTTGTAATATGATAATCTTTCCGTTTTGCTAGCCCCCATTTCTGATTGCGTCACTAGACTACTTTGATCCATCTGACAAAAATAATCTTCTTGAACTAACGTGTCTAGATTATTCACTCTTTCTCCTTGAAATAAACGTGCTTTAATCTATTTTAGCGAATTGGACAGGAGGTATTCTGCACCCTTCTCTACAAACTTCTAACCCTGCTGCTGGACTTTGTACCGTTGATAAAAAAATCGTCAAAGAGAGATGGTCGGTCATGGTTTTAATGGTCCGAGGATGGTGGAATCGTAAGTAACATTGGTGATTGCAAAACAGTAGGATATTACAGTATCCGTTTTGTAGTTACAAAACAATAAAAACGCCATTCATTTTGGTTCTTTCTTTCTTTGTATTGTATTTAAAATGGCAACTTATAGAATGCACAACCTCTTGTGACAATATCAAGGGACATAACTCTTATAAACAAACGAGCTATATTTTTAAGCATTTTGGAGTTGCATTGTTGATATTCGTGTCGTTTCGATCAGAATTTGTTGTACTTGAACAGATCGCTTTAACAGGTCTGTCCCTCTGTCGTAACCTATATATAAGTGTATGAACAGGTCCTTCACACTGACGTCACTGGGGTACTGCCCCATTTCAGGTCAAAAGGGGGTCTTTATGGAAGTCTTCTGGAAGTCGAAAGAGAGACAAAGTCAATTTCGCCAAACGGTCAGAAGCTATGATGTTGTTTAACTACGGACTAGAGTTGTCCGTGGTACTGACCAAAGAGCTGCCACAGGATAGCCTGTACTGGGAGAGGAAGTTCTGTCAGCGATTTGAGGAGGCACACATGGTTCTGTTCCCACTGTGCATCCAGCGTCAGATCAACTACTGGTACCCCGTCCCTCGCTATGTAGGTAGTATATCAACGGTTATCAATATAAACAATAAGTCTCATGATTAATGCTGTAAAAATGTGTAGAAGATTACGTCCATGTTGCTACTATATGTTAACGTTTCTTATTGCAGTTTAATTGCGCCAATCGTCGAGAAGTATGTATACCGGTGATTGCCAAGGAATGGAGGTTGTTTAGTAGCTTTTGACCACTACTGGCCATAGCTAGATTGTGTTTATGATTGCTTTACTTGTGAGAAATAAAATAAATGTTGTATTATTCTCGTGTCAAAGAAGTGTCATTGATAACAGAAAAAAACATACACTGCAACCTGTCTAGTACGACACCTTTTATAGCAAATGTTGGTCCGATTAACTTGTCAAATCTGACAACCAGTATAACATATTACTAGTCGTATTCACCTGTCTAGTCCGACTCGCTGTCTAGTCCGACTCCCTGTTGGACAAAAACATTTGTCTGCATATTGGACAGGATTTGAAAATGCACAGGTCGTTTTTCGTCGTTAACATTAACAAATGTTGGATTAAACAGGATGTTTGAATACCCAGTGGTCGGATTGGACAGTATTTATTGCATCATTTCAAGGCGAGTGTCTATAAAATGTACTTAATATCAAGTGTGTCTGATGAAGTTTCCTCCATTACTGTTAAATGCATGGAGCAACCTTAGCACGGGCAAGCGAAAAGCTATTTTAAAATTGACCTTCATATTTTGATAACATATAGTACTGAAAATTGCACAGTGCTGTAATTTTGTAAGACCCGATAGTTTTCTGAGTTGATCTGTTGGTATGATAAACTAAATGTTAACTATCAAAGCTAACAAAAACAATTGTAACATATTTCACACACTTATTTTCCTATATGCATGCAGCATTGTGATAAATATGTCCGGGAGTAGTCCAGCTTGGCTAACGTTGATTTATCGGAAAGCCGTACGTGAAACAGTGTCCTGTTGTCTACGCAAACTCCGTGAAATGTAAGTGAAGTAAAAAGAACAACAATTTATAAAAAGATACAGAAATACCTCAGATTTTAAAGTTTATATCTTTTAGCAATTTTTGCTTTATTTTCGTTCTGTTTGACCTTATATGTACACCTCCAAGATAAGAGACAGCCAATCAGAAAAGAGGATTTCGATGACGGGTAGTGCCGAGCATTAATTAGCATAGTTGTTACCAAGGTGCCGAAATGTTGAACGATTTAACAAAGATACACGGATAACAAGATTTATTTAACATCGCATATACCAAATAAAACTCAGCTATGTAGAGTTATACTTCAGACAGGCAAGAATACGTTGATAATCACATTACAGAAATAAAGTTTAATGAGACATACAGTTGTAGAGAGTAGTCAAACCGGAGTGTGTATGAAGAATGCAAAGCAAAAACAAAAACTCAAAAAGCCAAACATACTTGTACATCTATTCAGAAATCAATTTTGTCGAAGCCGAAAGCAAGACAGTTTTTAACGAACCATACGACCAGTTCGTCAATTTAGTACTCAACAAGGTCAAAAGCATGAAAGCCAATCTAGGACAATGGACGATCCCGTATGGTAGACTGCGGTTTCGTGCCAAGTTCATTTGATGTCTTAACCAACACTGTGTTGGGGAAAAAATAAGTTAGGTAATTTTCTCTACGTCATGCCGACCGTTTTGACCCAAACATCTCTGTAGCTCACTAAACAGTATAATATTCGTTAATATCAGTGCTGGTAACACGGCTATACTAGTTGAGAATATGAGCGTATAAATAATCAGCAAAAAATAATTCATGCATTTAAATAATACATGAAAAAAAGAAAAATATTATGCGCTTTCTATTTTGTCTGTTTCAGTTTGTGTATAAGAAAATGTATCTGGCATGAATGGGATATATTTAAATCCCTTCCACCCTCGCACACATCTGGGAACTGCAGGCTCATAAATCTCTATTCCTTCTGTAGCCGTCATTTCGTCGTTGACTTTGACGTCACCGGGTTTGTCACTATGGTTTGACGCCACATCTTCCCAGGCGGTTAACCCTCGCTCCACACGTGACCCTTAAAACAACAAGGATGTATCTAAGTATCGGCGAGAACATGTTATAAGAATGACACTGGTGTCACAAAACGTAAAAACTAAATCCTCGATGTAACACCATTCATTTCCTTTTTTCCAACGCGTTTACAACAAGCGTAAGTCAAGGTCCCTTTTCGCTATTTAATACAATTTGGGTGTTTCCCTCGATATATTGCCACACCTGTTTACGAGGATAACTTTTTATCTGGACATTTGATGGCATAATAGCGAGATTTTACCATATTCAGCAAGAATTGTGAAAACAAATAACAATATGAACCGATAGCGATGGACTGAAAGTTGTATAAGTTTAAGATAAGGTGACAAATGTAACTTGTATTATCTCATTTCAACCCTCCACATTGTACATCCGGTCGATTTAAAAGAATTTCACGGAAACAAACTCCATTTTCCGACAAAGACATTTTAGTTTAATGGTAGTGAATTACTTCATTCTTTATTGATTATTTATATATTGATCTTCTAACCAAGGGAACAACAAATCAGTTTGAACATTTATAATTTCTCTCTCCCTGTAGGTTTTACCCTACCTGCTATAGTATTGTCCAGCAAACACGCCAACACGGCACCGGACAAAATCGGATTTCCAAGCAGCATCGCCATCAGTTGATCTAGGGCCTCATTTCCTAAATATAAAAGATTGTTTACGGGTTTTTTTTGTATACTGAATAATAAGTCAAGACTGTATAAAGCGAAAACTGTCAAACGAACTAATATTTCCGCTTGATACTGTCCTGTTTATATATTTGATTTACATATAAATGCGTTAGTCAACAACAACACCAAAACATCATCAATATATATCAATGCGACATCAATGGAGTAACTATCTTTTTATTTCTCTGTATCCTTTTTTCCATAAAAATGGGTGGCATTGGTGTTGAAAAGAAAACAGTTTAATTTACCAAATCATTAACACTAGCATTATCACGAGAAACAAAAATAGGGGAAGCCAGCTATTTAACAGCAGGATCGACTTAAGTTGTGAAACTAGTTTCCAAATCCAATTTCAACCATTGTGTATTGCTTTACATCATACTGTAAATGGGAAAAAACATAATAAAGTTTAAATTAACATCAGCATTCTTTTCCGAATATATGGAGATTAAATGTCATCAAGAATGGATTTAGTTGACTGAAATATGTTGCTCTTTTTCTCGAAATGCAATAAATAAGGTTCACCATAGAAGTAAACCTGTATTTGCTCACCTGTTTTCGTGCGATCTGGATGTTTCTCGACCCAGAATGGGACAATTAGACCGAAGGAGACAGATATCCCTAGTATGGCCAAGTTCCGGTTAGAGCGGAGATCAACGTGCTGCAGGTTGGCAAAAACCACCCCTGTAAACATGCTTACCATAATGAGCATTGCTCCCCCCAACACTGGGTAAGGAATAGTGATGAACAGTGCGGAAAGTTTACCAACAATCCCAAACAGCATGAAGAGCACTCCGACCATCATGAAGACACGTCTACTTGCAACCTGTCAAAAGGGGGGAAAGCATAACAGAAGTGTCAACAATACACTAGAGCAATTATGAACAGGGAAAAGAGTTACATCGAGACTCGCGAGGACCGCGGAAGTGACACCGATACAATACGGCGTACTAATGAACATAACAAGCATACTGAGTATTGCTGAAGCAATACATGTCCCCTACCGGCCCCCGCAATCTATTAAGATGCAACAGTGACCTCAACCTAGATCCATGAAAGAATGAGGCACTAGAGTGCTGACAAAGATTTTCTAAAATAGTAATAGTGACATTGTCTTGCCCCGATTACCTTGAAATTGTCCAAGATATTTAAATTCTTTACAATAGTGTGAAGTTTGATTAAAAACTAGGAAAGAATGAAGGCGCAAGAGTGCTGACAAACTTCTTCGGACAGACAACGAGGAAAACTTTAGGTATTCTTGTTTTCTTCTCCCTCCCTGCCACCCCCACCCAGTTTCACCGGTAAGGAAATAAAAATACTAAGAAATCTTATTTGTTGATTGTAAAGGTATCTTTACAAGTGTGTGAAGTTTGATAAACAGGCAAGGAAGAATGTTAAATAAAATTTTCTATTTATAGTAACTGTGACCTTGACCATTTGACCTTAAAACTCGAACCTGTCCAACTCAAACTTGTCGAAGATATTTTAATTCTTTATGACTGTGTGAAGTTTGATTAAAAACCAAGAAAGAATGAAGACGCTAGAGTGCTGACAAAGTTTTTCTATTTATAGTAATAGTGACCTTGACCTTGATCAGATGACCTTGAAACTCAAACTTGTTGAAGATATTTTAATTCTTTATGACTGTGTGAAGTTTGATAAAAAACCAAGAAAGAATGAAGACGCTAGAGTTCTGACAAAGTTTTTCTATTTATGTAATAGTGACCTTGACCTTGATCAGATGGCCTTGAAACTCAAACTTGTCGAAGATATTTTAATTCTTTATGACTATTTGAAGTTTGATTAAAAACCAAGAAAGAATGAAGAGGCTAGAGTGCTGACAAAGTCTTTCTATTTATAGTAATAGTGACCTTAACCTTGATCCGATGACCTTGAAACTCGAACTTGTTGAAGATATTTTATTTTTTTACATGTGTGTAAAGTTTGATTAAAATCCATGAAAGAATGAGTGCTGACAAACCTCTTCGGACAGACGGACAGACGGACAGACAGACAGACGGACAGACAGACGGACGGACGGACGGACGGACAGACGGAGGGGAAAACTATAGTCCCCCCGGTTTCACAGGTAGGGGACTAATAAACAAAAAACATCGACCATCGTATCACACGAAGATATAGCATAGTCCCCGTTCCCAAAGGAATCATGGCGGCGATCACAAAACTTGTTTATAGTCTTCATCAATTAACATCCATGGAAATCGTCGTGTTGTAAGTTTGTCCGACATTCGTCATTACGCAGGTAAAGCACCCCTGCAAACTCTACCAAAACCAATCCGCTGCACATATTGCATTTTGGATCTTCATATTTTCTCTTTACTTCTTAACGAGCTGTTTGTTTCCGTTTTGCATTCATTAGCAAACCCTCACATTTTAGGTTTTAAGTTTTGGCCATTCGCAAAGGGGAGGAGGGCATGGGTTCTGTCACCAGTCTGGGACATACCAAAGTCCCTAAGAAATGGAAGTTGTTACATTCCCTACTTAGCGTTCACCATTTCGTCATTTAGCATTTCGGAATTCAGCTTNTGTATACCCTGTCAGAATGTGTCAGAATGTATACCCTGTCAGAATGTACAGTATGTATACCCTGTCAGAATGTGTCAGAATGTATACCCTTTCAGAATGTGTCAGATTGTAAACCCTGTCAGAATATGTCAGAATGTATACCCTGTCAGAATGTATACCCTGTCAGAATGTATACCGAATGTGTCAGATTGTAAACCCTGTCAGAATGTGTCAGAATGTATACCCTGTCAGATTGTACAGTATCTATACCCTGTCAGAATGTACAGTATGTATACTCTGTCAGAATGTGTCAGAATGTATACCCTGTCAGAA